TACTTTTAAATTCATGGCACTAGTTTTGAATCAAATAATAATTTTAAAAAAATAAAAAACAAAACAAAATAAGCATATGGGACCAAAATAACAAAAAAAAACCTTATTTTTTAAAAAACAATAACAAAAAGTTACTTTTAAATAAAAAAGGATGAAGTTTTTTAAAAGTTTTAGAGATTGAAGATGCATCAAACAAAATTTTCTTTTTTAAAAAATAGAGGCTATACACATGGACATGTGCTAAACCTATATAAAAAAAGGATTTGGCACACGTGTGAAGCTTTAAAAAAAAAAAACACTTGTTGTTCATCCTCTAACTTGTTTTTAAAAAGATTTAGATGATTATCATAAACCAACTACCCTCTAGTAGTTAGAAAATCAAGACGGTATTTCATATCTAAAAAATCAAATTTCAACTATTTTTTTAAGTTAAATATATATATAAAAATATTTGAGAGACCTATAAAATCATAATGTGTTTAAATTAACCAAAAAAAAAGACAAAAACAACTCAAATGTAAAAAGCTTTTTAAACTCAAATTTATTTGTTTAGACAATAAAAAACCACAAAAGACTTATGTGAAATTATTTTTGTTGAATGAAATCTCGTTAAATGAAACTCATTAACATTAATAATGATTTTTTCATGGTTAAATTCGGTGCTAACTAATGATCAAAATCTAACAAGTTTCTCTTAACTCTCAAATTAAAAACTTAAAAAAACAAAATTTTAGATTAAAATTTAATTTTTTAAAAAAGAACTAAAACACTGACAACAAAGCATTTGGAAAGTAAAATACTTAAAATGTGCTTTCCATGCTAACTGTAAAATCACTATATATTTTTTCTGTTTTATTTTAAATTGATTCTTTAACTTTGAATTTTTAATTAATATTAATTTGACTAGGTTAAGTGGGATTTTAAAAATGTAATTATACTTGTATTTCTAAAAAAATAATTATTTTATATATTTTAAATTGTTTTAATATGATGGTATTAACAATAATTTTCTAAAAATAAAAAATATTATTTTAATATATTTTAATTTAAAAAATATTTCAATAAACAATTTTAACTGTACCCCTAAACAGCTATAAATCTCGAAGACAAAAATTTAGAGGTAATAAAACGTAGTACTATCGGTATCTGAGTTTAGAATTGCACGGTGCACAGAGTTTTCACCCGTCTTTTAGTGTTTGTTTCTAATTAATAATGAACATTGTCGGAAAAGGGCCAGCTCTTGACCCAACAAACATTGTCCGTTGATGCAGCCTTTTAATAATGTGATGGATTGGATGGATCTATCTCTGGCCGTATAGGATAATCACCACCGACCACTCGCTTACTCACGAACATGTCATGTCACCTGGGCCCGTAACACATGTATTGGACGGACGTTCCTGATTAAATGTATGTCTGATGGGTAGAATATTCTAGGTCAAGCCCACGTGGGCACCACGTCCTCAACAGATGAGATGTTGATGATGTCATTTGATCGCGAAGAAAATTTGTTTTATCTTTTTGAATTCAAATATTCAGGAATGGTACGAATGAAGTAAGTTGACTCAAGAAGGACCGGACAGCATCATTTTTTTTTTTTCAAAGTTGTTTGGTGTTTTTTTAAATCATCATATAAAAATTAATTGTTTAAAATTATTTTAATAGAAAATTTTTTATTTTATTTAAAAAATAAGATAAATTTATTCAATTTTTTATATAAAAGTTATTTTAATTAATCCAAATCAACATAAAAATAAAAATAATTATTATTATAATTTTAAAAATCATTTAAAAACTGACTAAAAATAAGAATCAAGTTACAATTTAAATTAATTATTAATCTAAATTAATATAAAAATAAAAAAAATATTATTATAATTTTTAAAGTTCGATTTAAAAGTCAAGTTAAAGTTGGGTCTGAATCATGGATAAAATTGACCATTGATTCAAGTCAATATAAAAATAAAAATGAGTATTATTATAATTTTAAAACTCAACTATAGATTAGACCCGAATTGCATGTTGGGATCAGTGACCCAAGGTAACGTAATGATAAAAATTATCATTATTATAGTTTTAAAATTATACCCATAAATCAATATGAAAATAAAAATAATTATTATTATAATTTTAAAATTCAACTAAAAGATTGACTTAAAACAATAGAAAAATATAAATAATTATTACTATCACTTTAAAATTAAATTCCAAGCCAACTTAGGATAAAATATGAGTCATGCCAATTAAAAATCATAGCAACTTCTCTCTGTATAAACAATTAATTTTAAATTAATATTTTATCGTCACTTAATTTTTTTAATTAAATTAGATCAATTTTTCTATAAAAAAAATTCAGAGTGATTAGAGCCCTTGTTCAGTCACGTCTGATATAAAGTAAATATAAAATAAAATAAATAATCATATTTAAAATAAAAGATAAGATAATTATTTGTGTAATTATATCAGTCTAATCCTAACCAATCAATATCATATGTACCGATCACTACCTAAGTTTCACTCAGACTCTCAGATTCATTTACATTTTATTTAAAAAGAGTGTTAAAAAGGTTCAGAGTGACAGCGCAACTTTCAAGGAATTTATTTATTACATTTAGTCCATAAATTATTAATTATTACCAAACGCATGTCCATCTTCCACCGTATTTACCATTAAGAATACTGTAGTAGTAAGTGGTTGGTGTCAGAACTTTTGGACTAATTGGAGTGTCCGTGCACGCTACTGTGATGAATGGGTTATTTGTGTGTTTTAAAAATATTTTTTTAAAAATTAATTTTTTATTTTAAATTAATTTTTTAATATTTTTAAATTATTTTAATTTATTAATATTAAAAATAATTTTTAAAAATAAATATTATTATTTTAATATATTTAAAAATAAAAATTATTTTAAAAAATAATTGCAACCACATCTCCAACCGTCCTTATTTTTTCTTTTATTTATTTATTTGGATGAATTTTTATTTATTAATTTAAAAATAATTAATTTTTTATATAATTTTTTTATAATGAATTTATAAAAAGTAAATTATCTTTTGATATTTGATAATATCATGAAAAATAAATTAGAAAATATTTTTTAATATTTGGTTATATCATGAAAAATAAGTTGGAAAATAATTTGTTATATTTTTATTAAAATAATAAGAAACAAATCTTACAAATTAAAAAAGTTGAATGAAAATACAAAAAATAACAATCAAAATAATAGAGATCAAATCTAACAGATAAAAAAATTTAAAAATGATAGAATTAAAAAAATATAATTTCATAAGTTATTTCAAATAAAATAAATAATAAAAAAAATCAAATCTAACAGATAAAAAAATTTAATTAAAAAAAATAAAAAATCAAGTAAAAATTATAAAAATGAGATTAAAGTTGATATAAAAATCAAATTTAAGGAATAAAATTGAAAAAAAATTCAATATAAAAAATATATAATAAAAAAACTTGAGATCAAATTTAATATGTTCAGTAAATAACATAACTTTTTGGAAAGTACTTTTAGTCCAAAATAAAAAAAATACTTTCCTGAAAATTAAATTAAATTTTTATTTAACTGAAAAATATTTTTATTAACTAACTTTTCTAATAATAAATAAACACTAAAAATTTAAAAATTAATTTTTTAAAAAAATATTTTTATAAAACAAGACAAAACCTCAATACAACTTTTATTTTTATACTCATAAACAATACAATAATAAAGCTATTTTTTACTATTTAATGTTATATTTTATAGTATTTTTTATTTGATAATATATTAAAATAATAATTTCTTTAAAAAATTTATTTTTATCATCACTACATCAAAATAATTAAAAAAACATAAAAAATAATAAAACAATAATTCAATCATAACAGGAAATATCAATTTTTTTTAAAAATCAAATTAATTTTTTTTAAATTAAAAACATTTTTTCTATAAACTTTTCTATGGCAAATAAATACAAGAATTGGAAGACATATCATTAGACTTCCATACAAATTTTACATATACAACACATTAAAAAAGCTATATATTGTTTACTATTTGATGTTATATTTTATAATATTTTTTATTAAAAAATATATTAAAATAATATTTTTATCATCAATGTATCCAATCAATTTAAAAACATAAAATAATTAAATAATAATAAAACAACAACAGCATACAACAAACAAACCCGTGAATTCATTTCACAGTCCTAAATTTCATTTGAATGGCATTTGATCGAGATTATTAAGTCATTAAGCACAACACCTAGTAAAGTAGATTGTCAGCTAAACTAGGTGGAACCCACATTTAATTTTTAAAAATTAATGAAATATTAAACCTTAAAAAAAAAAAAGGTGCCCTGGTCTGAAAACAATGTAAAGACTACACAATTTTTAACGGTAAAATTGAAATAAAATAGGCCCGAAATATTATTTTAACAAAGATTGGAATATAGTTAAATCGTCATCTTTCAATAAAATCCATCAAAAAGTTTAGCCACGAAGTATAATTAAAGTAATTTGACCTAAAAACAGATTCTTAGGAATGAAGTCAAAATTTTCGGATCTAGAACCCAAATCTCCATTTAATAATTGATCTCACACGCAACTTGTATACAATTCTTTAGTGCCTTTGCTGGTTACCCCAGTGGTGATTTTATTATTGCTCACAACACCTCAATCTTAGCTATAATTCACGATTCAACCATGTTTTCAAAATTCTTTTTAGCTTGAAATTAGTTTTTAATCCTTTAAATTGTTTATTTATTAATATTAAAAATAAAAAATATTATTTTAATAACAAACACTTTAATAAGACAACAATTGGCAGGCCCTACATTGCAATTATATGCAACAATTGATGCTCCTTGGTCACTCATCACCGCCAGCATTTGTCTAAATTCTAAGTTACCCTACCCTAAAATGACAAAAATAAAATAAAAATAAAAACAAAAATAGAGTAAAGAATATATGATAATTAAAAAAAAAAAAAAGGGCATGGAGAACCTAATGTCATTATCATTAAATAACAAGCAACAACATTAGATGTTCAAACAGTAGTAATAATCATAACAGCAGCGGCGGCGGCGGCGGCGGCAGACACCCTCCTCCCGTAATTAAATTGAGAGATCAAAGGAATCAGGGACGAAAGTGAGTAAAAAGCCTAAAGGTTAGGGAGATTACACATCATTAAACAAGGCTGGCAACTACTAGTCTGACTTGAAACTTTCCACCGCTTGCTCGGGCTGTCCAGCAACATAATCCAAGAGCCCCTCGCCGGCTTTGTCACTGGAAGAGTCGGTGCCCGGTAAAGAGGTCTTGCCAAAGAAGATGACAGCGCCAAGAAAGAGAGCTGTGGAGAGAAGTAGAGGACAAAAGTAGGCCAAAATTGTGAGGAAACTCGGCGCAACAACGATTATAGAGACAAGAATAAGAGAGAAAACGAGGGTGAAGAAGATATGATACTTGTAATTTAGTAGCTTTTCTTTGATCTCCATGGTAGCGGTAAAGAGAAGATTGGTGAGCTGATTGGGGGTGCTGTTGGTTTTCCTAAAAAGAAGTTAATGGAGGTCTCTCTCTCTCTCTCTGTACAGAGATTCTCTGAGAGGAAATGTGGAGTGTTTGTGTTGATGCCTCTGAGTGGACTGCTGTCATTTTTTGTTTCTTATTGACTCATGAGTCACGTACTCCTTTTTTCGATCCGAGAGAGAAAAGGTTTGTTGCCTAAAGTACCCTCCGACTATTTATCCATCCACCGGTTTTAGATTATTTATGTTAAAATAATAATAATATTATTTTTTAATTTTTCAAAACGAATATCATGTTATTTGATATATGCAGCAAAGCAAATATAATGGTGTTGAGGACATTTTACCCTTGAGACTACTTTGGGCACGTACCCACCGTGCCTTGTCGGCTGCTTGAGCTTTCAAACGAAACTCATTTAGCTTTAACGAAAGTTCTGGTATGCTCGTGAATAATTCATGCGCACAACCCTTTTAATTGAGTGATTTAGGTTGAATTTGAAATGGGGTGCGTATGTTTTTTAAATTATTTTTTATTTAAAAATGTATTGTAAAACTTATTTCTTTTCCGTATATGTAGATCTATTTACAAGAATTTATCAACATGGTTTCCTCATTTTTTTTTTAATATTCACAAGTTGGTGTCGTTTTTTTTTCTAGGTGTTTTTGATTTTTTTAAGTTTTCTTTATTGTTTTTATGGTTTTATTCATTTAGGTTTTTCTAGGCTTTTTAATTTTTTTTTATATTTAGAAGTTTGTTTTTATATTTTTGATAATCCCTTCAAAGTAATATAAAATTACAAACACCATCAAAAACTTGAAGATTCCAAATAAACTTCTTTGATTTTCAAAATGTGTGGGGCTCAACAGGCTATCATATAGGTCTCTATCTTACCATCAAAAGTTTATTGGATTGTTTTAGCCATCTTTCATCACCATAGTAAGTGTCTATCCTATCATCAAAAGTTGATTTAGTATAAATTTAAATGATATGTCATTGGCATAATGACTATGTAATCCGTCAAGTTATTACACTTAGTTGTCCCGAGTAAGTTGCGCCAAACTTTATAAACAACCTTAAAAAAATAGGATTGGTTTTACTTGGATGATTTTTGCCACCCTTCATCATTATAGTAGATCTCTATCTAACTATTAAAAGTTGATAGGGTATGAATTTAATTGATGCATTGCCGACATGGTGGTCATGCAATCAATTAAGTTATCACATTTGGTTATTTTTAACATATTATGTTGAACTTTACGAGGATCCTCGGAAAGGTAGGACTGATTTTACTTTGATGGCTTTCACAACCTTACCGTCATAGTAAGCCTTTACCCCACCATCGAAAGGTGATAAATATTGCTAGCTGTGAGTGACTCGCAAACTCCTTTAATTTACACTCCTTGCGGGAGGGGTACAAATTAGTTGGTGAACTAGATAAAGATATCTCATGCATAATGATGAAATCACATATCATATAAAAAGACAAAGAGTCATCACATAAGGTTAATAATCATAAAAACCTAATAATTGATATATCAAAGTTTGGGTAAGAAATTAGTTATATAAAGGGAATATAAATTTAATTAATAATACCCTTCTAACTTCTGGTATAAGGCCAACTGTAATGCACACATCAATAAAATGATAAATTTCTGGTTATAATATTAATAAAGAAAAAAGGGTAAACCATAATTAAAAAAAATACATGAAATCCTTTTATTAGAGAGATAGTGGTCTTAGGACTCGATAACGCACCTAATAAAATAAGTATAGAATCACATAAGAAAATAAGATTATAATTATCAATATAAAAGATGGAATTTTTGATTACCACCGTTTCAACATAAGGTAAAATGCCAAAATTGATGGAACCAGACATGAACTATATAAAATAGCATCATTATTAACCAATTATCCTTGAAGGATCATTTTTTAATATTATTTATGTGCATGTAGGATGCAAGATATTATCACATAAAAGAAGAACACATATATAAAAATACGATAAGTAAAATATATTTTCAAGTTGTCGATCAACAATGAACCATTAAAGATGCATCAATTAGAAAAAAGCAAGTTTTGAAATGATCGATTTAGAACCAAATTGTTTGTGAACCAATTAGAAAACATAAGTTTTGAAAGGAGCAATTTATAAATAGATTGTTCATTAGTGAACTGATTAGAAAACACAAGTTTTTGAAAATAAATGGTTGAAAAAAATTATTTATAAGTGAACAAATAAAAAATAACATTATAAAAAGGATCAGTCAAAGCGAATTATTTATGGGTGAACTAATTATAAAGCATAAGTTTTAAAACCAAATGGTCAAAATAAATCATTCATAGTTGGACTAATTAAATACAAGATTTAAAATTAGTTGGTTAAAACAAACCGTTTGTGGGTGATTTCATTAAACAAAAGTTTTAAAATTAATTGGTCAAAACAAATCATATATGGGTGAACAAATTAAACACAATATTTTGAAATCAATTTGAAAATCCTTGAAATTTATCTCATGTCAAAATTAGAATACAAAAGTAATAAGATAAATTATATTCATTGAGTCATTTTATATAAAAAATCAATTTGTATAACCGATGATGACCGATACTCATCGAATCTTCTCGTATGAACATTTATATCACATACACAAAATCATATTGCAAACTTTGAGGTTTAAAATTATTTTATGAAAAAGCATCATATCTAATTGGTGAATAAATTATCAAGTAATGAAAAGTAATAACAATTAATCAAATCATCAGTCAAGCGAATTGAAGGTTAGTCAATCATTAAAATATCAATTCAATAAACATCAAGATCAATACTCATCTTAGATAATTTTCAAAATCAAATTACAATGTTATCCTTCCAGTTCTATAGGAAACATTAATACCACCCTTATATCTCCTTAAAATTTACTTGGTGATCTCAGATTTCATAGGTTTAGCACATATTAACTTGTTGCATATAATTCAAACAATAAAATATCCACACAAATACATATAATTATTATAAAAAGATAAATTTTAGGTTAAAAGAAACATCAAAATACCCCTCAGGTCTAGGTAAAATGATCAAAACACCCCTGGTCCATTATAAAATCATGAAAATTCCTTTCATTGGCACGTTAACCCATACACAACATTGTTAATGGTTTGATGAGATCTCAGCAATCCAAGTAGTCCATCAGGTAGATGTCGATCTCTTTTTTCACCTGATAATGGCTATGTATCTCATAGATAACCAAGAAAAAAGATAGATAGCTTGAAAGTCAGGTGATTGAATAGTTTCTCTCTTTTTCACCTAGTCTATTGGAAAATCATGAAAATTCCTTTCTTTGGCACGTCAACCCACACACATCATTATTAATGGTTAAATGACATCTTGACGATCCAAGTAGTCCGTCAGGTAAATATCGATCTCTCTTTCACCTGATATTAGTCATGCATCTTATAGATAACCAAGAAAGAAGATAGATAGCTTAAAAGTTAAGTGACTGAATGGTTTCTCTCTTTTTCATAGTGGATTCTTATGACATTAATAACTAAAAATGGTTAAGTTTTGTACAACATAGTGCTTCACACCTTTTTATGGTGGTCCAATGTCAAATGGTGGCTAAACAAAAAAGATACAGAGGTTGGAACCAATGACGATGACTGACATGGGTTAGGATCATGTGTGTCATAAACTATACTAGATTCATTAGCTTGATTGCTTTTTATTTTGATTAAGGTCTTGGAAAGGGGAGACACTATTTAGATTTCCTTAAAATTATATAATTTTTTATTTAAATATAAATAAATAAAAGAAAATCTTTTATAAAAAAAGATATTGATGTGACATAAAATTTATATCACATGTGTAATAAAGGTGATTCAAAATGATTAAGTTCTCTAAAAAATATTACATGACTTACAATTATATGATTGTAGAAGAATGATAAAAAATGCATTAAAAGTTATAGGGTGTTACACCTGGTTATTATGAAGAGTATTTTTAACTAGCCAAGGCATAAAAGCTTTTTTTCTTCAAAATAAATGGATAATAAATGCGCGCAATGATTGCCTTCCCTTTCAAAGGCAATCACATACTTGGTCACCCAATGTCATAGTCTCATTAGAAAATCCAAATGGTCCCTAATCTTAAAGGTAAAGCCAATGCAAGAATTATACCTTTCAAAATCAAAGATAATACCTTTAACCATTCTAATACATCCACTCACATCCCTTCCCTTCAAAAGAGTGCCTACAAGTAGGATTCAGTTTTTTACTTTTGTTGTGACCAGTCTAGTGTATCTGTATCATGTTTTCTATTCCTCACCTTCTTACATAAATATGTGGGGCAATGACGTATATCCAGGAAATTTCTAAAGCTAAGTTATAGCATGTCTTAATCCACACTGCTTTTGGACTTAAATTTGGCATGAGTCATCCTCTTGCCTTTTTTAAGACTCTTATTCCTTGTACATTACCCTTATCATACTTTTATATTTGTTGTTTAAGCCCTAAGACCCTCGAATGTTACTTGATCATATCTTAATTTCCATAAAACCATATGTTTTGAGGGGTTTTTAGAGTTAAATTAGAGTAGCATGAGGCTAAATCTTAATGAATCATGGCAATAAGGATATTTTTCCACTTACAATACCCTATCTTATATTTAATTTATCTACAAAGAATTCACCTATTAATGGTGAGCAAACCAAGAAATGCCTAGTTTAAAATTTGACTATATGTGGCGTTTGAATTACAATATAGAAAAGCATCCTCAAGAGTAAACCAGGTTTAAATTCCTTGAAAGCATTTGAGAGGGTGAGAGCCCTATAATGGTTAGACCTTGTTGCAACATGAGATGCCATCTACAAGTTAGGTTGTTTGGAAATATAACCCTAAATTAGGCTATAAATTTTATCCAAAGCTAAATATAGATGAGAGACTGTTAACAAATAAGTATTGTAAGGGAAATATGAAAAGGACTTTGAAAAAAGAATTAAAAAATGTTTAAAATTATTGGGAGGGAAGTAAATGGGGCTTGATGATATGGCTTGAGTGGATATAGAATGACAATAGTCATTTTATCGATTAGATCGTCGGGTGGACTGATATAGATCATAGTGGCAGCCCAAGTCTAGGCTTTTGAAATGCCCACAAAGACATCATCATTATGATCATGGACTATAACGCGCCTTATCATGGCTTGCCTTAGTACATATATATTTTAGAAATTGACCTACGAGGTTTTGATTCACGCTATTTCGAAACACGAACCAAAAGGTCTAACATGCGTGTGAGTCAATGAGTGAATAAAACTATAAGGTAAAAGAAAACTTATTGGTAGGACCCCCCTAAGGGTTACGCTGTCAATTGACCTTGATCTTCTAAAAAGGGTTCAAATGAAAGAATACATGTTAATACTTAAAAAATGATGAATTATGCCCAAGCAAGGCTGAGATGGAGGAAACTTTGGTGAAGGCCCACAACGATAGTGATATGCAAATTGTTTATTTGGGTATAAGGGAAAAAAAATTAATCGAACCATCTTGTTGTTGGTTCCCTTTAAAGTTTTCCTCATGATAACTAGAGCTCGATATGAGTTCTATCGGGTAAAGATAATGATTGAAGGCATTAAGAGTGTAACTCCCTTAATTTATTCTCAAACTTTAAATATATATGAAAAACATGACTTACTTCATTGAGTCATGTCAAATAATCAAGGGCTTTAAGTGAGCTATTTTTAGTAAGAGGGATTGATGATGCAGGATAAAATAGAAGCCAGGTTATAGTGTCCAATTACATGCTAACCTAAAACCCACTAAAGGTTATGGTTAATTTAGATAACAACATAGTAGTCATGCAAGTTGAAATCCACTAAAAAATATGTAACAACTCACTTATTAAATCAACTAGCCCTAAAATATATATAGCGTTGAAGCATAAGGCTTAAACTTAATTGTCGAAGCAAGTGTAAAAACTCAATGAGTAAAAAGGTGTGGTAGTTGCTGCAAATATTAGGGTGCAAGCTGGGGTGAGGAGGTTAACAATGAAGATCTTAACAGTGATAGCATATATTAAATGAGAATTTTAAAGGTCGAATAAAGGAAAGGTTCCATATGAATAACACTAGCAAATTGAATAGTCTATTCTAAGATATATGAGAAGCTTATCTAACAGTGCATTTATGTGCGAATTTTAAAAAAAAATTATGTTAAACTTCATAAATCAAGATATAATGACTAACAATATTGTTAAGGAGCCTGAAGACATCAACAAGAATCTCATAAAAAATTATTTTTTATGCTTAATAAATTATCCACTTGAAAATAACTTAGTCACAAATAGGATTCAACATCCAGAAAAACATGTTATATAGCATCTGGGGTGCCTTTTATAACCGAGGACCAAATACCTCTCACGCTTGATTATACTCACATACATTAAGTCTCTAAGGTGAAGTGGATTTGTAATCTTAGAAAAAAAAAAAAAAGTTTTGAGAACCGAGGGTTTTAATCTTTAACTTTTTAATAGTTGGTGGATTAATCAAGTTGCTCCTGTAGTCTTGTCTCGATTGGTAGGTGGATGGAGATGGATTAAAAAAAAAAAAACTATTATAATTAGAAATGTTTTGTAATGCACTGTAGAATGAAAACAGCACTTCTTTTAATTTTTAATAATAATAATAATAATAATAATAATAATAATAATAATAATAATAATAATAATAATAATAATAATAATAATAATAATAATAATAATAATAATAATAATAATAATAATAATAATAATAATAATAATAATAATAATAATAATGATAATAATAATAACTGATTAAACTGATTCATGGGCCTGGCCCATCGGGTTAAATTATACCGCCTTTGTATAATCGAAAATATTGGAGTCGTAAGCTGCAACCGTTCAAGCTTTTCAGTTTTGGAAAGTCTATTGCTTTGTATATGCTCCAATGGCATCTGTAAGAACCACAGGTGCTTTTGTAGCAGCCGTCTCTATTTCCATGGTATTGTTCTCTTACTTTCTATGCAATTACAGATCCAAAAGAAAGGCTCCTTCCCCCATTTCAAAGAATAAAAAACCAGGAAACGGACTCATTCATGCTGTTGGTAACACTCCCTTGATTAGAATTAATAGCCTCTCTGAAGCTACTTGTTGTGAAGTAAGTTCAAGATATGCTCTTTTGCTTCATATTATGATCCAGTTCTTCCATTATTTCCATTTCTAATATGTTTTCATTGGACTTGTGGCATTGTTGTATCTGTTTATGAATGAAATACATATGGGGGTATGTGCTTTTGATCAAGCTATGTTTTTTTCTTTGAATTATGGTCTTGATTATGGGTTTATGGTGTTTTATATACAAGATATATGTTTGTGGTTGATTATGATCACTTTTTAACTCACACTCTTTGATACTTCTCTAGAAGATAGGCTTTTCTTTCTTTCAATTTTATTAATTGTATTTTCCTATGTTCCCCCAAATTGATGCTCAATAATCTTTCTTCATTTTCTGAAGTGGTTGTTCTAGCATATTTCAGGGTTGATTTATAGTACTTAATAGATTCATGGTTATTGGTTATTGCTTTTGGTTTCATTTGTTCTTGATTTTTCTTTCTTCAGATTCTTGGGAAGTGCGAGTTTCTGAATCCAGGAGGGAGTGTTAAAGATAGGGTTGCTGTGAAAATAATTGAAGAGGTAAATTACTTGAATGCTTTTGTCAGCTACCAATTATGAAAACTTTAAGACAAAAAGCATAGTTTTGGTGATATTCTCAATTAATTAGGAATTTAGGATAGGAGATATGATTGTTAATTTCAGACATGATTATGGATGGTAATGGTTGTGGCTTGTAAGTTCAGTGTGACCAATCACAAAATGTAAAACTTCTTTTTATCAAAATGCAGTCATGAGAACAGAACCGAAATCTAATGTTTTTTGTACTATGATCAAGCCACAGCACTACGAATTCAAACAAGAAATTTAGTGTCATATAGAGCTTAAGCTTGAGTTAACAGCTCAGGGGTCATTTAACTACTTCCCTGTCTTAAATGGCGGGCACCTGAAATTTCTTCTTTAAATTGAATTTAGGCACATACGGAAATCCTTGCGATGCTATTTATGAATCCAAAATCTATGTGAAATATTGAAGTCTTTAGTTTCCACATTGTTCAGATGGTGAAGTGGAATTACTCACAAGGACTACTAATTGAACGAAACAATTGTCTGCTCATTTTCTATTTTTTGACATTTCAATAATCCCATTTGTTAAATACATTGTCTATTGTTTTTGTGTAAAAAGAAGCCCTAATTAGCTTATGCAACACTTTAATGTCAAAGTAATTAAAGCTTGTAGCTGGCATTATTTTGTTATCCTCTGTTACACCTTCTATATGTTTGGCTGCTTGGCTCTACGACAGGCACTGGAATCTGGCCAGCTAGTTTGTGGTGGAGTTGTTACTGAGGGAAGTGCTGGAAGCACTGCAATTAGCCTGGCTACAGTGGCTCCTGCCTATGGATGCAAATGCCATGTCGTTATTCCAGATGATGTTGCTATTGAGAAGGTTTGGATATTGTGTAGCTTTTCAGACTAATTTTCCATAATTGAGTTGTGTTAGGTAAATGTATTGTAGGAAACTTAGCAGCTATAGATAAGTTGCATAGAAGTTGTATAAATACAATGATGAAGTTTAGAAGTGTTCCTTGAATTTACTTTTGAGGACCTATGAAAAATTTATGTTTTTTTTTTATGCATGTCGGTAAAACAGACATGTACTAGAGAGTTTCCTTCTTCTGAGCATGTACCTGAATCCTTGACATTCTTTTTTCCTGAGCATTCTTTTTACCATTCACATTCTGTGACCAACTCGACTTTGTTACTCTTGAAAACTTTTGCTAGTCTCAAATTCTCGAAGCTCTGGGAGCTACTGTTGAAAGAGTGCGACCAGTTTCAATTACACACAGAGATCACTATGTCAACATTGCTAGGAGACGGGCACTGGAAGCAAATGAATTAGCATCAAAGCTTAGAAAAACTGAAAAGATTGATGGCAAATTCTTAGAGCAAATTGACGGTTGCATATCTGATGTAGAGAAAAAAGATTCTATTTTTTCAAGTTACTGTAGTGGTGGTTTTTTTGCTGACCAGTTTGAAAACTTGGCAAATTTCCGGGCCCACTATCAGGGCACTGGACCTGAGATATGGGAACAAAGTGGTGGTAGTTTAGATTTATTTGTGGCAGCTGCAGGCACAGGCGGCACTGTAGCTGGTATTTCAAGTTTTCTCCGAGTAAAATTCTTCCCTTTGTTTTAAACCTTTTCATTTATGTTGTGCTAGAGCAGTTCCATCGAATCCTTATTACATGTTCTACAGGAAAAGAATCCGAACATCAAGTGCTTCCTCATAGATCCGCCTGGTTCTGGTTTGTTCAATAAGGTAACAAGGGGAGTGATGTACACGAGAGAGGAAGCTGAAGGAAAAAGGTTAAAGAACCCATTTGACACAATAACGGAAGGAATTGGAATCAATAGATTAACACAAAATTTTAAGATGGCAAAACTTGACGGAGCCTACAGAGGCACAGACAAAGAGGCTGTTGAAATGTCAAGGTCAACCCATGCTTTCTTTTTCTGCCCTATTTCTATATAGTAGTTGTTGATTGCTTAGAGGTTGAGAAAGAAGTAAGGAGGAGGGAATTATGTGATGATGTCCTGGTTGGTGGGATAGTTGCACCAAGAGATATGGTCTCTTGCCATGTCTCTGCTAATGTCTTACACTTTTTTCTCTCAGGGAGCTTTTTTATTTCCTTCAAAATGGAAATTTCCTGTAATTTTTCATTACTTTTACTTGTTAATGCGAAAATTTTGAAATTAGTTGACCTTTCTTCACTTTACATGGAATGACTGCTTTTGAAACTTGATTTTATTTCCATGCATTTGCAAGCTAAAGATTTTTCCCATGGCACTTGAAACTGTTCTCCTACTAGTTGTACTTCATTCAAAGTTTCCATACTACATCTTTACTTGAACTTCTTTTCAGGTATCTTTTGAAGAATGATGGCCTCTTTCTGGGGAGTTCTTCAGCCATGAACTGTGTTGGAGCTGTTAGAGTGGCACAATCACTTGGTCCTGGTCACACAATTGTGACCATTCTGTGTGATAGTGGGACGAGGCATCTGAGTAAGTTTTATGATGCTCAGTATCTGTCTGAGCATGGTTTGACACCCACAGCAACTGGATTAGAGTTCCTTGGTATTTAAATGAGATTTGGTCCTGACCATATTTTTATCCAGAATCATAGAAGCACAATGAGGCTATTTTCGTTTGCTGTGAAGTTTCTTGGTAGGGCCGGCCTCCACCCTCCGAAAGTTTGATGTGATTTTTGGTGATGACAGCATATGGAAGCGGTAACTTTACCGTGGATCAAAATACCATTTACTTCATAAGGATTAGGACACACGTTAATGCGTGTTAGGCTGGCAGGATATGCTTTAGAATCATTTGTATTATTGTTGATCATCAATTTTTAGTTGAGACCATCTGTCGAAATTTTGGGACCTTTATGTCTTTTATTGTGTTTGTGCCTGGATGTGTGTAATTTTCAGAGCATCATAGCTTTTTCCTACGATTTTTTTTTTCTTTTTCAGTCTCCAGGATCATTTTAAAGCCTCCACGAAGAGAAACTGCTTTCCTGCAATTCATTTGACACTGTAATGGAATGGAATACAACTGAGATATAAAATTATCGTTATTTTTCCAATTTGTTCCAAATTCAATGTTCTTGATGCCAATCACCTGCCAGGAGGAGAACAGCAATGAATTATCCATGAATGCTTTTCCAGCATGGCAAGATGCTGGCTATATAATTAACTTGTGGATTTTAGCACTTGGCTTAGACTGAACCTTTGGCTGGTTTATGTGAAAAGAATATACTAGGATGACATCCCCTGTAAATTAAATTAAAAAATGAAAGATGAGCTTGAATGAAAGATGAGCTAATTTAGTAGAATTGCATGAAGTTTACAGAGCTTCGCAAAATCACAATTAAGAAGGAACTTGAGACAAGTAAGTCTCTATTCTAGCTCTTGACATCATCCTCATACGCCACGTTAACGTGTTGAATTGAAAAATAGCTACATCATGCTTCAACCTCAAACTTTCAACACTTGATGGATCCCATGGAAAGGTCAATCTCTATCAAGTTTTCCTCTTCATTCACCTCAGCAATCTCTGCAAATAGCTCCATAAGTCCCTGTTGCCTGAAAATGGATTCAGGCAAATTCGAAAATGACTTTTTCTTTGACTCTTCATCAAAATCAACAGAGTTGTTCAGTGGAAGACTAATCTCAATCAGACCATCACCATCCTCATCAACGTCATTTTCAGAGATTGAGCTTTCAGAGACTGCAATACTTTGACCTACATTTTCTGAGCACCTCCAACTGAGCTCAAAATTCTCACTTGCAGAGAAATCATCACTGCTATCACTGTCTGATGGGAAATCCGTTGGTTCAACTTGATACTCATGCATGTCGCAAACATCACTTTGCTGGGAAGCATCGCAATGAATTATGGGTTCCACTTCTGGATTTAGTTCCTCCACAACTTCCTTTTCAACCATGCTCTGAGGGCGACATGCGGGACTTTCAGCTTCTGCTGATTTGCTAACAACAGCCACCTTTTTCTTTGAGAATGTGACGATGAAAATGGTTGACAGAAACAAAACAGATATTGTAATAAGGTATGTAGAGATCCCAAAATGGAGGAAACAAGTGAAAACAAGAGAAGCGACAAGGACTGAAACACAAAGCAGTGAGGGTTTGAAGAAATACTGTGAACTGATTTGACTCTCAGGTGTATTTCCCATTTCCAGGGATCAAAAGTAGTTTGAATGTTGGATTGGATAATATGGAGTAGATCTGTGTAGAAGATTGAAGAAAAGAAGCGAAAACACTTCTGGGGTCTAATATTTCTTGTAATGCAACACAAGAAGAAGCAGAACTGCTGGTACGAGTAGCTGCTTAGTGCTTACATATTAAAGAAAGGTAAACTAGTACAATAACAATTACAGGAGAGGAGATTGGACACAGAAGAATAGTTTAGCACACCTGGAACGAGCTAGTCATCAAGGAAGAATCCAAGTATCTGGTTGGAGAGAGAAATAAATAAGTGTTTTATATATATATAATTTTCTCTAACAGTGAGCTTTTTTCTCTCTCTCACTCACAGTGTTCCTAATAAATTAACCTGGTCTTCTTTTTTCACTGAGACCAAGCTGTTGCATCAGCTACTGAGGCTCTTGATTCTTGAAAAAGGCAAGACCATTTTAATTCTCAAATCTCAAAGCTTTGAGATTGCCAAATCCATGTGCAAGTGCAAGACACCTGTGCTGATCTCCACATGGCACATCCACGAAACCCATCACATGGAACTCACTAACCAAAGTCTAGATATATATCACTCCTTCTCGAGTTATGTCCATTTACTTTTAAGTTTTATCCACAATCAAACAAAAAGTAAAAAGGTTTTTACTCAAAAAGGATTCGCTTTGAGGGATTGAAATGAAAGAAACCAACTTTTCAAGCTAAAGTTGAGTGAAATCTATTGCTAGCCAACACATGGTACGTAATTACCAAAAAGAGCACAGTGATAAGATGATGACCCATTTTCTATTGTCTGCAATTAGAGGGTCAAAAGAGTAATGATATGATGATAGGACTCCATCTCTGCTCCTGCACGCTTTGATAAGGGTCTTAATGGAGGCCCGTTACTTTGAAGAGATCTTTTGACGGGAATGCCAGGCACCATGACTCCCCGGGGAAGTAAAATGGTCAGGTTCATAGTAGGCTCTGCGGTGAGACTCTGAATGCATGCATGCCAGTGGCTATATGACTTACATTTATTATAGCATATTTTGCTGAGTAATAATAATTTTTTTAAAAGCAAAACAAATATGAAGAGTATGAACTATCAATTTAATTTAGAGTTTGTTATTTTTAAATAATTTTTCATGTTAAAATATATATTAATAATTTTTTTATTTTTAAATTTTTTTTTTGATATCATCACATCAAAATAATTTAAAAATACTAAAAATATATTAATTTGAAACAAATAAAAAAATAAAAAATTTAATTTTTTTTTTAAATATTTAGAAAACACAAAAACAAACATATCCTTAATAGTCTTGAGTATGATACTATACTAGATTTAATATCCATAGATCCGGTTGTTGAGCTATATTCAAGATTTTTGGATCTAGTTGTAGAAACTGATTTAATATCCTTGAGTTTGGCTACAAAGCTAGATCCAAGATCAATGAGTCTGAATAAAAGTCGAATCCAATTTACAACTAGACCCGACAATATTTCTTGATCAAAAATAAAAAAGACAATACCTCATGGTGCTATAATATCATTGACAATGCAAACATTATATCTACAGTGTAGTTCACAGTATAATAAATATATGTCCACAATATTATTTTTTAAAATATATTTCTTAAAAAATATGTTAAGGTAATATTTTTTTATTTTTTTTTTCAATTTATATTTTATATCATTACATCAAAATAATACAAAAACATTAAAAAAAATTAATTTGAAGTAAAAAAATTAAAATAAATTCAATTTTTTGAAAATGCATTTTTAAAATGAAAAAACAAACATACTTTAATAAGAAAATTCGACCCAATTAAAAATAATAAAAAATTATCATCACCTAAATTTTGTACAATATAAAAAAGATCTTAACCTCTTTATTTACTAGTTAACAGGATATATTTATTTTGTATTTTAAAAATATTTTTAAAAAATTAAATTTTTTTATTGTTTTGTTTTAAATTAATTATTTTTTATTGTTTTCATACTAATTTCAAAAATACTTTTTTAAAAATAAAAAATTATTTAAATTAAAAATTATTTTAAAAAACAACAACTATTATTCTTTTAAAAACCTCGTAACTTCATTGTGCTATCAAATATTGACAGCACAGAACAGGATAAGTTGCCACTTGCCAGCAATCTCACTTGTCTTGCTACTCAATGGATCCATTTCCCCACTCTATTTTTATGGTGTGGATTCTTGAAGGCAAGAGGTGGGCTCATGTTGATGCTCCTTTTGACCTTGCAAGAATTGCAAAAAAAAATAATTTAGTAGTGGTGGTGGTCAAATGATAAGGACTTGGGATCAAGGGGTTTGCTCTCTCTGTGGTCTCAGGTTCGAGTTCTTGGTTGCTCATATGATTGCCACTGAAGGCTTACATGGTCGTTAATTTCAGGGTCCGTGGGATTAGTCGTGGTGCGCGCAAGCTGGCCCGGACACCCACGTTAATCTAAAAAAAAGAATTAAAAAAAAAAAAGAAAAAAAAAGAAAAAAAAGAAGAAGAATTGCCATTGATGATACTTGCCTTCTTGCCCCCCTTGTAGAAAATAAATCATCCCCTCGTGCACTTGATGTCATAATGTGAGCTAGAGCTGCAGTAGAAGAGGATTATACACCAACTCTCTCCTTTTGTTCTCTCAAGAGTCAAGACGACAGATATGGGCATGCAGTTTTCAAAGTTTTCTCCCAGGAACAAGTAGCAGACAGGCATCACCCGTTTGCCCTACGCTGGCTCCTGTGATGTTGACTACTAGGAGTCTAATTAGGGGAGAGATCTTCGGACAAAGTGACCGGCTGGGTTCCTTTTACCACGCGTGTAAATTGAAATCATGCAATCTTGTGGTATTTCCTTCTTTTAAAATAAAAAATAAAAAAATAGGAATTAAGAATTTAAATCGAAAAGGAATGTAAAATATATTATATAAACATATTTTAAAATTATATTTTCTTATTTATTGCTTTTATTTTTTTATTGTTTTTTTGGTGAGTCCATAAATTCAACCATGCTTTTATCTTCAAAAGTTTTGATAAAATTAATCAAATCATCAAGCCAAAATAAGTTATAAAGTGTTTTTTTTTATTTGAAAATGCATCAAAATAATATATTTTTTATTTTTTAAAATTGATCAAATCATAAAGCCAAAATAAGTTATAAAGTGTTTTTTTTTATTTGAAAATGCATCAAAATAATATATTTTTTATTTTTTAAAATTTATTGTTGATATCATTATATTAAAATATTCCAAAAATATAAAAAAATTATTTAAAGCAAAAAAAAATAAAAAACTTTCAAGAATATATTTTTATTGCAAAAACAAACACATTTGATTTGGCTTCTGAAACTCATGAATGAGCAGGATCAAATTCTCCATACACCAACTTTAAAGGAAATGTTGTTATAATAAAAGCATTCTGAAATAATATATAAATTGTTATTGCCAATTACATCTCAAACTTCTTTGACAAATATTGATTATAAACTAAGATCAAATAAATAACTCCTTTTATATAACAATATAAGAGATACAAAAGATTAAGAGCATAAAAAGGAGTGGGGAAGGGAGCCTAGTTTTGTTCAAAATTACAAATGCACAATTTGTATCAGTATCAAGTAATAAAATAAAAGAATAGAACATCATCCCACAAAGATTTGTAAAAAATTATCAATAAGTACCTAAATTATTAAATCCTTACCTATTTGATGATTCAATTATAACATTTTTTACAAAACTACAAAAAAGAACCAAAACAAACAAGCAAGTAATTAAATAGTGTTGAAATTAAGTTTAAAGGATCTTAGTATTTCTGAATTTGCCATAACTAATCCTATATGAATTTCTCAATTGAGTTAATAATCAAGTTTTACTAATTTAATCA